TTATACAGTGATGAGAGGGGGGCAATCTAGGAGTATACATGCAATCAGAAGAGGAGGGATTGGGGGTATCCATGTGACAAGATGGGCGGATCCTAGATTCAGGATGGCAGCCTAACTTTGATGTCACTGAGCGGTTTCACCCATTCTCTGGATCTCCATAGGAACCATTATCAGTAGGGTATAAACCCCACCTACAGGAACCAGGCCAATGGTCACAAGCCTTTAGGGAGAAGTAGCCCATTGTTCTTGACAGCAGGGAACGGACCTACCTGTAGTGGGCCCAGACAGTAGTCTGGCAACTGACTGCCTTCCAGGAGGATGTCTCTAAGCATTTGGCCTTTTACCATTTGCTAGCAAACAGCCTCTAATATTTGGCCTATCTTTGGGGGAGACAAAGCTGGGGCAATCTCTTTATAATCCCACAGAAACCTATAATTATTTCCAAAACAGTGGTCCTATGGAAGGCAAGGATATTTTTAATCTTGAATTTTACAGGCGCTTCACTTTCTGATACAAAATCACACACAAAAAAGAGTTGTTTTATACCACACAGATTGACAGGTATGGATATTATTATTGATTTTATAGTGTGTAAAAGATAACTTAGTATGTAATCAAAATGAACAGAAGCCACAACTTTTTCTGACTCTCCATTTTCAACATCTCATAACAGGACATTTACTCCAGATTTTCAATATATTTTTTTCTCCCCCTGACCACTTCTGAAATCGTGAGGTTAAAAAGAATAAAGAAGGATATAATCAGCATATCCTTTGCCTTCAATTCACCTCATGGAGATGAATATTTGTTTGTGGCTTATTACACAGTCTCTGACTTAAAAATTCTTCTTACAACCACAGCCAAATGGAAGAAAACAAATTACCTCACCTTTCCTACAGGAAGGAGGAACAAAAGGTCAAGGACCTTTTTAACTAAACTCTAAAACTCACCAGACTGTGACAATCCTACCAGAGAGAAACCTTCATGAATTACACAATACTTTTTTTGTGTGAGACCAACTGATTTTTAAAACTTGTATCAAATGAGATTATACATTTTTCTCTGTTTGATGTGCTGGACAAACTATGGTAAGATACTTATTAGTAATTTAACTTGTCTTTTAAAGTTGCACACAAATTATCTAGTATGGTATATATTATGGGATAGAAAAAGCTATTATAACTTTGTGCAAGAATATATGGGTGGCATCAATTAGATTACTTATGAAGACAATTTGTATGTACATGTGTGTTTGCTTAGATTTTATTTGTTTTTTAGACAATGAGTAGAATCTTTTTTATTGTAAGATACTGATAGATATATCCAAGAATAAATTAGAATAATTCGGTAATAAAAGCATTATTTCAGTACTCAAGAATCATGACTAAATAAATTGCTTGTTTTAATTTCATATATTGAACTCTCTTTTTTATTAAGGAGAATTTTTACACCAGGTGAATTATCAACAGCAAAACAAACAAAATAGCCATATATGAAGACTTTCTTTTTCTCTGGTTTAGCAGAACAGGTTTATGATAATAAAGTTTACTAATATCACCTACTAATTTATGATAATAAAGTAGAATTACTTGTTGTACATTATGATAATAAAAATGTAACAAATTTAAAATTCATCGAGAATAGTTTTATGTAGTTTTGCAAAAGTAGTTAATTTTCTTTGTTTTTATAATGTCTCATTTCAAAAAATCTTGAATAACAGATGTAAGTATATAATTTAATGTTATTAGCTAGAAATTCATATTATTTCTTGTTATAACTTTAATTGGATATTTGAGCTAACAACTTTGGAACTATTTTGAGTTTTGTAAGTGTACAATCTAAATGACATGCAGTTTATTATTTATATTTTATAAATTTATATATTTTATCATTTATATTTTCAGAAATAGCTAGCTAGCTTTTCTTCTGAGGTAATAAGGTGGTTTCAAATCTCCTACCTTTCAGTTAGAAGCCAAACAATTTGTCCCACCTAGGGATTGCTGATGTTTAATTGTAGCGCCTTAATTTGAAAGTGAGAAATGTTAGAAATTGAAGCCCCTAAATTTATGCATAAGTGCCCTAGTGGCATAGCAGGATAGAGTTGGACGGCTAAGCGCAAAGTCAGAAGTTTGAAACCACATGGAGCTCTTTTGTAGAGAGAAGGCTTTCTTTTTCGGTAAAGATACCTACCCTTGAAAAATCCTCAGAAACAGTTCTACTATATATTTAGGGACTGACCCCATGGTAGTGAGAATGAGAGCTTACCATGTCATTTTCATATATTTTACACTGCAAACTTATATGAGACTTTGTGAGTTTGTTGTTTTTATTAGTAGTTAAGTAATTACCTAAATTTCAAATTGGAAAATCTCAGATATAATTACTAAGTATGTTTCTAGCTCCATAGACAGTTTACTTCTAATATGATAATAGTAAAAATCAACAGGAGTTTTAAATGATAACAACAACAAATAAATAAGGAAATCACATATTTCAGTGATTCCTCAAATCATCATTAACTTATACACACTCTTATGGTTTCTTTCATTTTCCTTGAGCTCCCACGTGCATAGGAAAATTTGCTGAACTGTCAATAATGTGTTCTATAACAATATATTTTATTCAAGTTATTTATTATTCTTCCTGTTTTACTATATATTCTGATAAAGGAGGACATGCTTGATACTTATTAATATGAAAAACATTGATTTTACCTCTGCCTTTGAATAATAATAAAACATTTTCAAAATGTGAGATTACTCAGGACATTTTATAAAAACAAATTGAAATTGGAGCAGAGTAGTTGGGTACATTTCAGGTCGACTCCAACTACAGGAGTGTTATTTTCAAATATTACAAGTCAGTTTGGACTTAAGCTGAATACTTCCTTCAAAAATTTCACATTCATTTTTCATTTTATTGTCAGTGGCTTTACAAATCTGATCTTTATTTATCTTAGGGGGTTGGAAACAAATTCACTGCCTGTGAATGAATATCTGATAATTGTTAAATAAGCAAAGTATCTGCTTCCACACTCTACATATTATTAATGATACATATTAGTAGTAGTATGTATTACATGTATAATAATAGAACATAGCATTAATGATAAGATGCACACATAGAATAGAGGATTATAACTAAAGTTAGTAATAACTTAAATATATAGCAAATCTGGGAATATATATATATATATATATATATATATAAATCTGTACTAGATTATGGATTATATATATATATATATATATAAATTTATTTGTTCAAGCTACACATATAGGAATATATATTCTTAGCAGAGTGGTTTATAGAAACTGCTTAAATGGCAACTGTTGTTATAATAAGGACCAACAAATGTTTCTGTGAAGGATGAAGCAGGAAGTAAGGATTTTGGGTGCTTTGCAGATCATGAGATCTCTTCTGTAAGCAGAGGTTTTGTTTAGCAGATTTATGCAATGCAGCTCATCTTTTGACCTCTGTACTGCTGCTTCCATGACCATTGATGGTGGTTGCAAGCCAGACAAAATCCTTGACACTTTCAACTTTTCTTCATCTATCATAATGCTACCTAGGGGATCAGTTGGGAGGATTTTGCTCTTCTTCATATTGGGTTGTAATCCATACTGAAGGTTGCAATACTTCATCTTCATCAGCACAAGTTTCAAGCCCTCCCCACTTTCAGCAAGCAAAATTGTGTCATCTGCATATTGCAGGTTGTTAATAAGCCCTCTTTCAATCTCAATGCCACATTCTTCTTCACATAAACCAGCCTTTTCATGTTTTGCTTAGCATATAGAGTGGATAAGTATGGTGTGAGGATACAACACTGATGCAGATCTTTGCTGATTGTAAACCATGCACTATTCCCTTATTCTGTCCACACAATTGCCTCTTGATCTATGTATAAATTCTCCATGAACACAATAAATTGTTCTGGAATTTCCATTCTTCTCAAGGTTATCCGGAGATAAATGTGTTTCTAACAAACAACTCAATGCAGGCCAGTTATTTTACAATGCAGTTCTTACATTTTAGATCAGTGTTAGAAATTTTATGTTGCCATGGAAACATGGGCCAAATCACATGACTTTTTTTTGAAAAGCAAGTTAAATAATCAATCATGACCTTAAAGTACAGTTTTTCATTTAACCTTTTAGAGATGTTGTCTACTTGATCACAAATGAATACTTTTTGAAAGCGCCTAATACTCAAGACTCTTTCTTTACTAATTAATTAAGCTAAACAATGGTTTGGTTTAAGGATGACTTTCAGGGAATAGTTTTCTTTATGGATTAAGGGATTTAAAGATTATCTCATGGCAATTAGTTCAGAACATCATCTAGCCCTATTGGCTACAGAAAGACTGCATTCCATAGACTTTAAATTCTGCTCCTCGATGCTTTGTCCTTCTTGTCCTTTTCCCATTCTTACTATTTTCTTATTTAAATAGAGTCAGAGTCTCCTATTTAAAAAGGATTAGTTCAACTTTCTCATTTCACAGTTAAAGAGAATACAATTCAAAACCTTTTTTCCTGTTCTAAATATAGTTTATAACAGGCCAATGCTACCGGCCGCCCCAAGGACGAAAGAAGGGAGTGGATGCATCCATGAAGATGTACAGTCCAGGAGGACTAAGAAGTTGTACTCTATCCAAGTTTCACCATGAGTTAGATGGACTTGATTGCCAATGGGTTCTTGTTTGTTTTGTCTTGTTTTACTCTTCCCAGGAGATGATCACCAGGTCTCTGGGTGGGTTTGTACTGACAAATATTTGGTTAGCATTTAACCACTATACACCAGGACTCCCTCCAGGAGCTTTAGTGTCTTCATTCCTAAATGGAACTAAACATTTTAGTATTATGTAGTTCAAAGGAGATAAGCTATATGTAATCTGGTGTACTAAAAAGCAAAATAATGTAAGTTAGAACAACTCATTGTTTTCCTCCATTTGTGTTTTCCCTTTAGTTTTCTCAGTCATTTCCAGGTTTAGGATTTCTCTAGGTGTGGTTCATGGACTACTTATATTTATATCAGCAGCACCCTTCTTATCTATTTAAAAATGCAGATGCTCCTACTGAATCATAATCTCTGGGAGATGGCCTCAAGAAAATAAGCACAGAAAACAGCCTTTCTGTACTATTTTTGTATACATTTTTAATTCCATGATTTGAGAATTTCTTTTACACAAGTATTGTTGAACATTCAATTAATTTTATGTGTGATCAGCTTCATTTTCATCAACTTTCCAAACATTTGCATAACTGAAAGTTGCTGATTTTTTGGTTTCTTACATTAAAGAATACTATTTTTTATATGTGCTTTGATTGCTTTAGAGTAATAAAATTAAAGCGATTTTTTGTCTTGACCTTTACTTTCAGTCATGACTTTTCCAGTATTTTAAGCAACTCAGGGACACTGCAGGAGAGTTAGAGTCGAACTGTGCTCTATATGGTTTGCAATGACTGTTACCTTTTGGAAATTGGATCACCAGGGCTTTCTTCTGAGGTACCTCTGGACACATTTCAACCTTTCAGTTAAGAGTATAACACCTAAAAAAAAAAAAAAAAAAAAGAGTATAACACTTAACCCTTTGAGCCATTCAGATAATCCTAAATTTTACTTATAGTTTTGCATCTGCATTTGTTTTATGATCGTACAACCAAACTCTGTCTTTGCAGCATCCAGTGAGTCAAGAGTTTGAAAATTGGGGTTTCGATGGCCAATAAAAGCCCTCAGGTTTTTCTTTTTCATTGCACATGAGTAAACAAATGACCAAACAAACTTCTGATAAGGTCTTATGTATGTAGCTGAAATGTTTACTCAGTATAATTTGTTAAAAATTTTCATATTATTCAGATGAGAGCCAGAAATGTTCTGTTGCTTCTAATTAAGGGACCATTGAGAGGTCACTTAATCTCTGTAAAATTCCATTTCTTTATATGTAAAATAAGCGAAAGCAGAGCAAATAAGAAATAATAGTTGCCTGGCATGGAGTTCCAGCTAAATAACTAGTCACCACTTCTGTTGTTAACCTCTGTTGCTGCAATTCCTGAATTCATTTTGTTTTCAGAAATGGAGAAATAAAAAC